ATATAAACAAAATAATTAAACTAATCAAAATCGTATAATTTTAAAAATAATAATCTTAATAATTTTTTTTTCTGTCAACTCAATGCATTTACAGAGACTATAACTACCGATTTATGTTTTTTAAATTAGCAATTACCATTTTTGAGATCTCAGCTGTAGTAGAATTTTCATTCGAATCATGGGGTTGACATGATATCAGAAATAAAATTTACAGTACTTTGGTTAAGTTTAAGAAATCTAAAAATACAAAGATTTATTCATTGTATTCAAAGTAAAAGTGTAAGATTTAAGCTTTAAAGACTAAATAAATGATCGATAAATTGGAGATTCGGATCGATTGCTGAGTCGCCCTCACCTTCACCTTCACAAATTGTGCAATGAAAGACAACTCCACTAGCTTACAAAGAACTACCGCCTTCTTTGTATCTGGTTCTGTATCTTTACCCTTAATTGGCAAGCCTGTTCAGTAAACTTGACATTTCAAGTTCAATCAGCTGGAAACTGATAGCGTTGCTTACACCCGTGTCAACTATTAATGAACTGAAAATGATGAGTTATTAAATGAGTTTAAAATAGAACAATAAATAAAAATTGGAGGAAGTTAGTCGATTGTTCTACATATCATGGATGATAAATAAAAATATGCCAATATTTATATATATATATATATATATATATATATATATATATATATTATATATATATATATATATTTATTACAAATTCCCATATCGGAATTTTTTTAAAGAGCTTATCGGAATTCCAAGATGTTTTTCGGTCGGTGGAGCACAGGAAGCTGTTCACAACTGTGACGGCACCTGCTCCCGTGATCTACCATTGTGCTGGAAAGCCAAGGAAGGTCCAATATTCCCGAAGCATGCAATAAAACTATTGTTGACAAGTTTATCTCGAGCGTAATTTAAATTTAATGACGTAGAAAACAATGCAATTATTCATAAATTCAGTTTGGACTTTAGATATGTTTTTGACCCAGTGAGCCAAAAAATATACTGTGATTTAAAATTTTTAAATGTCAGCTTTCAAAACGTTTAAACGAAGAGCGAACTGTCATGGCGATGTAGTTTTATTGCCACATATTCCATATGACCGCATTTATACAAAATGCTATCGTTTCAAGTACCTGAGCTTAAAAGTGATACAGATATCAAGAATCAATACATTTATGCAAAAAGTGCATTCACGTTATATAACTAATTCAGGGTGAGGTTACATGCTGGTTCCTTTGTAGTATTTTCCATATTAGTTTGGTGTATTATTTAAGTTCCAAATAATTATAATTAATTCAAACACAGATCTACTATGATGACCTAGAAAACTTATTTGGTACAGACTTAGTATTTTTAGATAGTTCTTGTTTTGGAACATAACATAAATTAAAAAGAAGAGAGTTGAGAGTTGAAAGAATTAATTAGTTAATTCATTAAAAACTGAAACAAGTACTTCGTTTTTAATATCAATTTCAAGTTCTGGTTCTTTTTTTTAATGCATCAAATTATGCTGTGCAAAATGCCGAAATATCTGTTAATATGACTCAATATTTGTAGTAGAGAAGGGATTGTAAGCTGTAAACAATGGGATAATTAAACAAAAGATCACACTCACTATTTATTAGTTGATTATATTCAAGTAATAAGACTTATATAATTCGAAATATACAGAAAGAGCTAATCTTGACTTATTTAAAGGCATATTTTCGTTCACTATCTTTGCTTCTACACTGAAGAGACTATAATTTAATAAATCTCCGTGTTTTTGTAAAGGAATACATCTAGGTGGCCCCGTTTAATGAAATCACTTCACTAAAAATAGTTAGTTTTGTCACTTGAATAAAATTATTTCAAAAGCACTAAACGAAAAAATAATTTTAGATGAACTTGACCCCAGATTATTTTTATTATAATAATAAAATTTAAATAATTTTTATACCAACAACATTCAGGATTTGGAATACTAAAAAATATTCTTATGGTTATCTGCCATAGTAAAATAAAATATTTATATTTTGATTCTTTTTATAATCACAATTCGAAACCTATCATACTGAAAACTATAAGCATTTTTATAAAAACTCCCTTGTTGAAATTCAAGTCTAGTTGTGTGAAAAATTATGTGATTTGATAATCTGTCAACAGAGAGTACCTGTATTTTTATGGTACTTTTTTTTTTTTAGCCTAGTCACTCAAATGTCCTCTTTTAATGGTTTTGATAAAGACAAACTCTACATGAATTTGAAGGATCAGCAAATTGGAGTTAACTCATTTTCCATTCGGAATCGCACCATTATATGAACATTTTTGTTGGACACTTTATCACGAATCACCTCCTTTCAGAGTTTGGCCATTAAGAACTGGATCACCTTGTATAAGATAATTTAAAAAACTCATTACATCTGTGTGTAATTCTTTTATCTATTAAAATTTTCCTTATCTCATACAATATAGTCGATTTGATTAAAAACGTCTTTCTGGCAATGTCACCTGATAAAATATTTTCCAAATATTTTACTGTTGCGTCGTTGTTCAATCAGATGTAATATATGATTAGTGATCAAGTGACCCAACTTAGCTTGTTATTATATGAAACAGTAATAATTGTTATTGAATGAAATAGTAAAAATTCATACAGCAAACAACAAGTAATCCATGCTTCAAATAAAGTAAAAAATAAATACTATTTATTTTATTTAGCATTATGCATCTGCAACTGTTCAGTCAAACGTTTTAAATAAGTAGATTGTCTAAGCCCGCAGTGCTCTGATGCTTACGGCTGCGTAATCGCTGACGGATTGCCACCGTTTCCGTGTGAGTGATGTTGATAGCATTAGCAAGAGTTGGTGACGAAAGTCACGAAGTTGAGGTTAGTAAATTAGTCTCCAGATCAGGACCTCAAAATTCCTCAGCTATCTTGCATGATGTCTCATTATAAAGTGTGTTTACTCCGGTGGGGAAACATAATCTAGCAAATTTATCTCTTTACTGAGAGAGATACTAAATTTTATTATAATTTTCAAATTATCCTTTAAATTAAAAGTTTTTATTTCTATTTTTAAATCGATTCCTGTGAATCGATAAAAAAGAGAGTTTTGGTTCGGATAAATCTTTTCAATAAGATCGAAGCGATCGAAAATGTTGAAGCAAAAAAGGTTGATAATCTGTAGAATATTACACCCATTCTGTCTTGAGCATAGGAGGACGTTAAATGGAATATGTGAACAAAAAAATCGTGTGCGGTGCGCGCATCTCACAACTTTCACTTAAAACCCCTTTTTTGTCAGAAGACGGTATAAAATATTATTTAAAACAATTAATTACCAAATGTTTTTCACAGCTGTCTTATGTATTATACAATAATAATACTATTTCCTTTTACGACTGTACATTTTGATTATAATAAATATTTAAGAGCCAAGAAATGTTTTATTTTTATTTTTATGAACTGATAAAAAGACCTCCATATTTATTTATATTTCATTGTAGAAATCTTATTTGTGTAAGCATTGGTTTACATACAAATTTTAATTTTTATATCGCTGTAATCTACAATACAATTAAATGTTAAATAATTCCAATCATAGCATTTATGAAAATCTTTTTACGTGGTCTCTATATCTAATTTTACTAGTTCTGGAATGTGATTTTCATTGCTACAAAAACATGAATTTAAATGTGGAAGAGACATAAATAACACGAATAAACAATGAAAATGTGCGAATAATTTTGTTTACGTTAAATAATTATATTTACACACTTTTAAAACTTTATTTCAAATAAGAAACAGGCCACGTTATTAAAAAAATTATTTACGTTTAAAAAATGAAGAAAGTTATGGTGTTTCGTCTAAAATTCTCTTAATGAAAGACAACGAAGAATGGTTAAGCACTGGACACAATAATTACATAAATATGGGGAATGTGTAATATTTTATGACTGAGAAAACTTATTTCTCTACATTCGAAAGGTTAATAAGTTACGTTTCTAAATACGTCCATTTTCAAAATTTGTAAAATTCGTAACTAGACCAGCTGTTTCTGTAACCATATAGAATTATAACAGAGAAGATCTAAAACATTTTTTTAATGTCCATCTCCCTTTGTTTATTTTTGACAACGTAGTTTCAGATAAATCTATGAGAGATAAATCCATTATTTCTAAATCCATGTTTTAATACACCATCTGAAAATTCTTCCTCAGTGCATTCGTTTCATAGGACTACACGGATTGTAGCTGGCGTACCAGGCGTACGTTAATTGATGGATATGAGCTATTTCAAACATGGAGAAATTAAAGATAAGGTAACATATCGATGTCTCACCTCAAAGATCTTGTAAGTCCATAAAATACATTTTCCACAAGATAACCAAATTATATACAAAGAGAGAAATACTTTAATTAAAGCAGTGCTGCCCAACTGTATAGAGTTGCTCAATACACAGCATCAATCCTTTTTTTTTTTGACATAGCACTTAATTATACTTAGTCATATGTTAAAATATTGATTGTCTTTTGTTTCTACTATTTAACAAGAAACCAAAATGTAACACCAAACACAACGAGTATTAATTGATCGAGCACTAGCTATTTTAAAGATTTAAGAATAATAGTGAATTGGACTGAAAAGATTTTAGAAGTAATTTATCGCTGAGCTTCTAGTAGATATGCGTTTTTGAAAGAGAACTTACTACACGAAGAAAGACATTTCAACATCCACAACAGAAGAGATGTTGACATTTTCCAAAGACTAAGTCGCTAAGTATAGAGCTTCTAATGACTCCCCTATGTGCTGCAGGTAATCTAACAGCCGACCAAGGTGGAGTCGCGAATGGTGCAGGTATTGCGAAAGGTCATCACCACAGCCCTATTATAATGAACAGCAAGGATTATATATTACATCCTCGGCGGATTAGTTCTAAATGAATAATGGCAATTCGATGAGGACAAGGATGCAGTGGGAGTAAGTCGAAGGCTTGTGCAATCCCTGCAATGATACGGCGCTGGAGGCTGCAAAGCGTTAATTATACCAGACTGAGAGTTATATCACAGATCAAAAGGAATTGTTATCGCTTGGCGGAAGGTTGATATACGAATGTTCTTTTATTTTTGAATACTTGAAGGAAGCAAGTAGACTAATCTAAATATCAGGGGTGATAAATAGTCAGGACGCAATCATTTTCTATTGGTACCAACGTTATAACTCAAGCATGTGGATCATCATCAGGCCGTGTCTCGAGCACTGAATGTGTTCAATTACTGGCATTTGTGACCAAAAATAGTGGCACTTACTTACCTACCTAAGTGCCAGTATTTGAACACCATCGGTGCTTAAAACACACCCTGATAATGACCCACATGCTTGGGTTGAAACGTCGACACCAATATAAAGCTTAAAAATGATTGCGTCCTGAATATTTATGACCCATTCATATATTTTTCAATATTAATTACACTTCATCGTTTCCCGTTCTTCGGCATTATCAGTAAGCCTACTTTCTTAAAGTAACATTACAAGTGATGCAGGAAGAGAAGCTCAATGATCTCCTCAGATTATGCATTTTATACTTCACATCCCATGGAGATGGACTTGGGAATTCTTAGATCTAATTTAAACAAATATGGTGATTTCAGTTTTTTGTGATGTTTTAGTCAAATCTCTTACAAAGAAGAGGGTACTTTATTTCTAGAGAATATTATTGTCTTTATTTTACATTTCAAGTATTTTTTATTCATGCAATTTACAACTGTATTACAATTAAAATACAAATAATAAATGAGGAAAGAGAAATATAGACATGAAAAATTTTTTAGAAAAACAATTATTGGTCGAACTTTAATAAAAGCTCCACTATATTAGAAGTTCCCGAGCCCTAATTTTTATTTTCATTTTTTTTTCAGACGCATCCGATGGTTGTCAGTGATTGAAGAGGAAGCAAGGTTAGAAACGCCCTCCAAACCCTCATTTGGATAGTTCTGAAGTTTATTATGGAAGGATAGGTATCTGGTATGGATCAAATAAATTGGACTTGGTATGAGGATTTCAATTAGAAGTTCATTCAGGTAAAGTTGACACGGGTCCATTTTCTTCAACAGATAGATTTTTTGTATCAAGACAATGATTTATTGATTGATAAAAAGCAAATTATTTTAAATGTTAACTTTGAAATGTGTAGAGGTATATATAGAAAAAAGTTTCTGAAAATGAAAACTAAATTTTCATACAAAATATGCACAAAGAATTACTTTTAATTCAATTTCTAAATAATATTTCAATAACACACTTAATTGTAATTATATTGCCTAACCTTGGCATATCTTAATCACTGCTGTGACAAAATCATTCCGTAGAATGGAATGGCAAGTATATGGCGAACCATAATTCATTAAAGCTATTAGCACATGCAGAGGAAGACAATGAGCAAGCAACTGTCGCCTCTTGGCCAAAAATGGACTAATGATGCTCGGGTTCGTCGACCGGCCGGAGCAACTTTCTACATCGGCCATCCGCAGGTACCAGCACCTCCTGGGGTCGGATCGAGATGAAACCCAGGGATATAGATGACTTGGGAGGATTGACCATAAATCAGAAGTGATTGAGGAAGCTCGACCGCAAGGCCATTCCGAGAGAAACCTCAAACCTGACATACATTGCCATCACGCAGAACTCCTACGCCGAGATTTGTGGCCTACAGACACAGTTCCATTCTCGGGATATAACCCGGCGATACGGGGTTCATAGGTGGAATTCGTAGCTCGGAAGAGAAAAGTATGTCGGAGTTATATACTGCAAGAGGCCAATAAATAATAAGTAAATTTTGATTAACTTACATTTAATCACTTTGGAAAACATACAACTGTGATGTGAACATTAAAAGAACGATCACGCTTATATGTTGATGATTGAAAATCTCATTCTTCGTGGCTTTTTGTGCTCTAAACTGAGCTAGTATATCTTCTTTCAAATGGCAACTCAGAATCCGTTGCCGTAAATTAATAAACTGGCTCTTTTTCAAACCATAGAACTTAAAAAGGCCTCATAATGGTGCCAATAATAATATCAGAGTCTCTACTTATCACGTTTTTACAGGATATTGGATTTTTGAGGGAGATATTTTTTGACATTTTTAAAAATATCTTGAGAGGAGGGAGGAGGGTCGACCTTGGGGAGGGGGATGGGCACCCTGTTATTCACATTAATAAGAAAATTTGTCCTTAACATAAAATGAATTTAAAGATGAAAGACCATATTAAAGTAATAAATATTTAAACTAATAATAACTTCTTTATTTAACAAGCTAACAATATACGAAAATTTCTAGTTGTTAATAAATATAAATTATGCTTGTAGTTTATATTTTATAGTTAATGTAATTTTGTAGTAATTTCATAATATTAAATTAGTTGTGGGTTTATTGATAAAATTTCTTTAACAGATATACTTTATTTTAAAATTATATAATAATTCAACGGCAATCATTCCAAGTGGTCCAGTATACACATGTTTAAATATATAAAAAGAAATGAGGCATTACAGAAATACAAGCTTGTTTTAAGGAGAAATTTAAGAAAAAAAAATAAATAAATGGTCTCTTATTCCAGAAGAAGATTTCAAATTCCAAAATTTAATATATGTATGAATTAAAAAGTGAAAAATAAGAGAGAGAGAACCCGGATGGCAAGAATTAAATAAAACAGCGCCACAAAATAACTCGCGGAGGAACTTCAGAAGACCTAACAACGCTATCCAAATAAAGATTACCTGTAGAATGTTTAAATTGCAGCTTGTTTTAAACAAAAAGCTGGAAAAGGTAGGAATGCTGAGAATTTCTCCCTCGCCGTAACAAGGTAATTCCCTTAACTATGATTGGACATGGTGCAGGAGGAGCGGGGGTGGTGGTCAAGAATGCAGCTCCTTAATATTGGACACAGTCCTCAGCTATGTCGATTGCTAAGAAATATTTTGTATTTTGCATTGGATATGCAAGCATCTATGTTAATTAAAAGAGAAATTAATTGATCCAACTTTTTTTTTGTATGAATTAAAAATTAGAGCATATAAAATATAAATTCTTGATTTTTTACTTAATTTCAGAGTTAGAATAAATTATATTAATAAGATAAACCATTCATATAGCGAAATCATTCCAATAGACTATTTCTTTTCCATAGTCATTTTTCAAAAGAAATACTTATTATTATTTTCAATAGTCAATACGTAAACGTCATATGTAATCTGAAATAGAATTCTCCAAGCAGAAATTATCAATTGTGAAGCAAGCTAAAAGTTCTCATTCATACAATATATACAAATAACAAAGAAATAAATATAAATATAACAAGTGAATAAATAATACTGATGAAGAAGGTAAATAACAAAAAAAGTAAACAAATAAAATAAAATAAAAACTTCTAAACACAATCATAACTATATACAATATATACATTCGCCCAAGAATTTCCGAGGCAGGCTTTTTCCACCGCACGTGGAAGGCAAAGCAACACTCCAGAAGATCCCAGTGCCACTTCTCCAGCCGCATCACTAGTATTAGAAGCCAATGGAGACTAAAAGAGGGCACTAGAGCCACAGGTGCTCAGGACATGAGTGGAGAAGCTGGCCATTGCCAGGACTCCAAAGGCATATTTACAAAAGATCTCGAGGCTACTGCCGTATCAACCTTCGAGGGGGATGATATGGATGCTTGGAGCTGGATAGGGATTGCGCTAGAGGATTGGGATGATGAATAAGGTTCTGGTGAAAGTTGGAGAATCTGGGTGAGATGATGTCATGGATGTTAAGGTCATGGTGTAGGGTAAATAAATAATATGGAGCATTGACTATTGTTCGAAGGACTTTAGACTGGAAGGATTGGATGCGTTTAATATTCGATGATTTAGTTGTCCCCCACAGTTCAAGTCCTTAGGTCCAGATAGGTTTCGGTGTGGTCTTGTAGATTAATAATTTGTTTTCTCTTGAGAGATGAGATGGTATGTTTAGTAGTCTATATAGCTGAACAAATCGTCGGTTAAGCTCTTGTCTCGTATGTGGGTTCCAAGTTAGTCTTTTGTCTAGAAGGAAGCCAAGGTATCGGACTGTGTCTGAGCAGGGAAGAGGAATTGAATTAAAAAGGATTGGCGGATAGGATCTGCGTCGAAGAGTGAAAGTTACATGTTTGCATTTTGATTCATTAATTTTGATGCGCCAGTTGTTGCACCACTGGAGGAAACTTTGCAGGTTTCGGAATGCTATTAGAGGATCTGAGTGGGAGGATAGGATGGCAGTATCATCAGCAAATGTTGCTAGGAACTTGAAGGGAGGTCAGTGGTGAAAAGGATGTAGAGAACTGGGCCCAAGACACTGCCTTGTGGAACACCAGCCTCAGTTGGATAATGTTTGGAGTGTTCAGTGCCGCCGCGGACTTGAAAGGAGCGATTTGAAAAGTAGGATTTGAAGACTAGGTACAAGGGTTGAGGTAAATGGGTTTTGAGCTTGAAAAGCAAGCCATCGTGCCACACCCGGTCGCTTGAGCTACGTCCAGAAAGAATCCAGTGCAGCAATATTGCTTGTTTTCAAGTGCAGAGGATATGTGGTCCACAACGCGTAGGCCTTGTTGGACAGTGGAGTATCTTGAGCGGAATCCAAACTGATGGGAAGGGATATTGTGGGATTCGAGTATGGGTAGGATGCGTTTGAGAAGCATTTTCTCAAATATTTTGGAAAGGATCGGAATTAAGGTTATCGGTGTATAGCATGATGTATAATTAACAGGTTTATCTGGTTTAGGAAAGAGGATAATTATGAAGTGTTTCCACACCAGAGGAAAGTGGGTTTTGCGGAGGATACAGTTGAATAGGTATCTAAGGAATATTATTACTTTTTTGGGAAGTTGTCTGAGGATCTGGAAAGTAAGGAGATCGTGTCCTGGAGATTTGCGAGGTTTTAGTTTCTTTAAAAGGAATTTGACCTCAGAGGGGTTGACGGCTGTAGGAGGTAAGGTGAGAGGAATCGGTGAAGAGAGGAATTCTTTAACTTCAGCAGTATGGGAGGGATGGAGTTCAGGATGAGGAGTGAATGTGTACGATAGATGTGTAGCAAACGTTCCTGCTCTATTCTCATCTAACGAAGCCCAGGAACCATCATCACTGAGGAGGGGGTGGAAAATGGATTGGAATTTAAGGATTTTTTTAGTTATATTCCAGAGGGAATTATCACTTGCAGATAGTGAGGAAAGATAGGAATTATAGGTTTGGGATCTAAACGTAGCCAGTTTTTGTTTTACCTGCTTGGAATAATGGTTATATAATTTCCGATCTGGTCTTAATAAGGTCTTGGAGTAGAGGATTTATTTTGCGGTATTTTTTAGAAGGATCAGGTGAAGATGCTGTCCAAACTGCTTGTTGGATCAAGGTAGTCATGGAATATACTGCTTAATCTAGGTCTGCAGGTGTTTTGAAGGCAATTCTGAGGTCAATATTATCATTCAGGGTTTGACGGAAGAGGTTCCAATTAACTGGCTCCCAGATAAATAAAGGTCGAGGTGATTTGGGAATTGGTGATGAGGAGACCATTAGGATTAGGGGACTATAGTCTGAGGAAAGATCATCAAGTCTTGAAATGCAATAATTAAGAGACCCTAGACCTTTGTGGATGAAAAAATCTAGGAGATCGCGATTGCGGTTAGGATCTGTTGGTCAGTATGTGGGAGAATTGGGTGAGAGGATGTTGCTGTAATGGGAATTATGTGCAGACAGCAATGTTCGTCCTCGGGAATTTATGGTTCTGGCTCCGCATTGCTGGTGTTTAGCAGTTAAATCTGTACCTAGAAGGAAGTGGTGTCCTAAGGAGTTAAGGAAGCAAGTTCATTAGGATTCTGAGATGGGTATTTTAGGCGGGGAGCATGCTGCGACTGCTGTTATTGGGTAA